GGGACAGTTTGAAGAAATTTCCGCTTCCATTTTCTCCATGAAGTACAAAGCTGAAAATGAGGTCAGGAAGGGAGAAAAAGCAACTGACAGCATCTGTCTCACATGCCCCACTTCAGAGGCCTTGGAAAGGCTGTCTCAGTTAGCATCTTGCCTTAGCTTTAGTACCAGATAAATAACAAAGGCTCAAAAACCATCTATTGAGTGAATAGACGATTCTACTCTGAGCTTGGTTTCAGGATGTTAAATACACATCTGGGCAGGCAGTAGTGGTGCATGTCTTTAATCCCAGCACTCGGAGGAAGAGGCAGATGGATCTCTGTAAATCTGAGGTCTGCAGAGGGAGCTCAAGGACAGTCAGGGCTACACAAAGAAACCCTGTCTCAAAACTCCTTAAAAACAAAACAAACAGGGCTGGAGAGTTGGCTCAGTGGCTAAGAGCATTGCCTCCTCTTCCAAAGGTCCTGAGTTCAATTCCCGGCAACCACATGGTGGCTCACAACTATCTGTAATGAAGTCTGGTGCTCTCTTCTGGCCTGCAGACATACACAGACAGAATATTGTATGCATAATAAATAAATGAATAAATATTTAAAAAAAAAAAACAGGGGGCTGGAGAGATGGTTCAGAGGTTAAGAGCATTGCCTGCTCTTCCAAAGGTCCTGAGTTCAATTCCCAGCAACCACATGGTGGCTCACAACCATCTGTAATGAGGTCTGGTGCCCTCTTCTGGCCAGCAGGCATACCACACAGACAGAATATTGTATATATAATAAATAAATATTAAAAAAAAAAAAGTTTAAAAAAAAAACAAAAAACCTCTGGCAGGGCATGGAGGCACTCACCTTTAATCATAGTACTGGGGAGGCAGATCTCTGAGCGTTGTTGATACCAGCCTAGTTTACATAAAACTTCAGACTAGACAGAGTTACATAGTATGACCCTGCCTCAAAAATAAGAAAGTAAAACGTAGGGCACACAACTGAGGAGATGGCTTGGTCAGTAAAATGCTCACCACAACAGCTTGAGCCAAGTTAAAATAGATGTGTGGCATGTATTTGTAATCCCAAAACTAGAGAGGCAGAGGCAGAGGCAGAGGCAGGGACGGTACATAGAGCTCCATCACCAAATAGGCTTGCTGAGCTGTTGAGATCCAGCAATCCTATCTCCCAAAGTAAGCATGGATGTGTACCCTGTAATCTCTGCACACAGGATAGGGATCATGCATACCCACAGGGGTGAACTTCCTTCCAATAAAGCCAAATGTTAAAATGTTCTATTTTAATGGCTACAAGAGGCAGGCAATCAAATGACTGAGTACTGATAAAGCAGACAGGTACACGAAGACAGATTATTAGAATGCTGTTAACTATAGCACAAACAGCTGACCAAAGATTTCCCGGAGAGGTGAAAGAGGAAATAAAAGCCACTGTTGGAATACAGGGAGACAGCACCTATTTAGAAGGACCCACAGTCCGTATTTACTGTTAGATACAGGCTAGGATAAGTAAATGTAAAATTATGGTAGGCTGCTAAGATGCCTCAGTGGGTAAAGGCACTTGCCAGCAGGTCCGAGAAGCCCACTTCAGTCCCTGGGACACATAAGGTAAAAGAACAGACTTCTTCAAGTCTAACCTCTATGTTCTCACTATGGTATATTTATCCATCCCTCCACACACAATTAAACAAATAGATCTATTAACATTTTTTTTTTAATTTTTGGTTTTGTTTTCCAAGACAAGGATTCTCTGTATAGCCCTGGCTGTCCTGAAACTCACTTTGAAGACCACGCTGACCTCAACTCAAGAGATCCGCCTGACTCTGCCTCCCAAGTGCTGGGATTAAAGGCGTGCGCCACCACTGAGCATTTAGTCGCCAAGTATGTACATGTACATCTCTAAACAAGGTGGAAGAGGACATTCACGTTTGTCCTGACCTCCACCTGCACTGACACATGCACACCTGAATTCACGTGCAGTTGTTTAGATGGATTTTTTTAGTACATACCTGTAAGGAGAACTTGGAAATCAGAGGCAGGATTGCCTTGAGTTTAAGGCCAACCTGGGCTTAAAAAAGAGGGAAAAAAAAATTAGAAAAATGAGGAAGGGGGAATAGGTTATATAGAAATCCTTTGCAACTTTTCTATAAATCTACAGATACACTATTACAAAATAAGCAGCTTATTTAAAAGGCAGATAAAGATGTATCTCAGTTGGTAGTATGCTTTTCTAGTACGCACAGGATCATAAGTACATGCTCGTAAACCTTGCACTAAGAAGTGGAAGCAAGTCAGGCGGTGGTGGCGCACGCCTTTAACCCCAGCACTTGGGAGGCAGAGGCAGGTGGATCTCTGAGTTTGAGGCCAGCCTGGTCTCTAATAGCTAGTTCTAGGACAGGACCCAAAGCTACAGAAAAACCCCATCTCAGAAAACAAAAATAAAAATAAAACATGGGGTGTAGTGGGAGGAACTGGAGGGATGACTCAGCAGTTAAGAGCACTGGCTAGAGGACCCAGGTTGATTTCTCAGCACATACATGGCAACTCACAACCATCTGTAACTCCAGTTCCAGGGATATAGAACACCCCCTGGCCTCCATGAGCACTGCACACATGTAGTGCACAGGCATATATGCTTAAAGGCAGACACAACACCCAAACACATAAAAAGGAATCTTAAATCCCAGCAGTTCGGCAGTGACCAGCAGAAGGCAGGTGGATCTCTATCTCTTAGAGGACAGCCAAGGCTACATAGACCTACTCTGTTTGAAAACACAAAAGGGTGGTGGTGGTGAAGATAACGCTTGTGCTGAAAGTCTGCTGCCAGTTTAATCATCTCAGTTTGAACCCGGACACAACATGGTGGAAGCACCAGCTCCTACAAGCTGTTCTCTGACCTCCAAAAGCATTATGGCAAACATGTGGCCTACCGAACACAAATTACAGAAGCTGGGCTACCCCTATTCTTCATGGTCTTTCAGTCATCTTTTCAGGGGTGCTGGGGAAGAAACTCAAAGCATTATGAATAGTATGAAAGTGTGTTATCACTGAGTTATGAAACCCAACTGTTGGTGTCAATCCCCCTCACCCCATTTTTGGATATTTTTGAGACAGACTACGACCTGGTCTGGAACTCCCTAAATAGACCAATCCGGCCTCTCAAATTCACACTATCCCAACCTTTTCAGCCTCCCCAGTGCTGGAATTATAGGCATGAACTATCAAACCTGGAAGTCCTCCACATTTCTATATAGTCAAAGCACACTGATCTGTTCATGAACCCTCATCTAAGAAGAGTGTAGAATAACTGCATTGATTAAAATGCATGTGAGCATAAGATAGTAGAGCTGCAACATCTGTTGGATTCAAAATAGGAAGTTATCACATACTCCCCATTCCCAACCCTCTCAATACACCAGAGACATGATTTATTAAAAAAATTTTAATTGGTTTACAAAGGAGCTACAGACTACATTGAAACTAATCTTTGTACAAAAGGCGGAGAGATTGAAATAGAGATATAGAGAAAGAGATATTGAGATCCCCAAAACACCCAGGGACAAAGTTAGGGGGAGAGAGACAAGGAAGATACAAAAGGAACAGGAAGACAAGATATTAGCATCATACACACACAAGAGTGAGGGTAGAGAACAAGGGGAGTGACTGCTTAGAAGTATTTACCCACACAGCCCTGGTGATAACTGGACTGGAACCCACAACAAACATAGCTTGAGGTTTAAAGGCAACAGTGGTATGGAGACTGGTTATTGCCAGCACTAAGAAAGATAAACTTGTTTTAGGCACCAAATTAGAGCACTACTCCTCTGTCCTGGGATGACAGACTCGGGAGAGGGAAGCAGGCCCTAGGACAGCTGCCTTTGGTTTCCTTAGATCAGTATCAGCATATTCTCTTCAGACTTCATGCCTAGTCTTTAGCTAAGTAAGGGCTATTAGGATGTTACTAGGAGAAAAGAATCATAAGAAATATGAAAAACTGCTACTATCCACATTTTTCAAGAGCAGTTACTGGAAAAGCTAGGTAAACAGAATCAATTCCCTAGTGGAAAAGGCACAGTGTGATTCCTGAAGGCAAGAAATAGAAAGCACATCAAATGGATGTGCCAACAGTTGTCTTCATCTGCAGCCCTAGCTAAGGTGTCATGTTCAGTCCCCATGAGCTGAAGGACAGATGAGTCCCTGTACTTTCTTAGCCAAGAAAAGGAAGGTTGGGCTGTTTGTTCAAGATGGGGAAGATGAGAAAAATACTTCACTTTCTCCAATGAGTGCTGTGGAGAAATCCTTTTGGGTTTGTAAAGTCAGAGCAGTGATGACTCAGGGAAGGAAGGGAGCCAAGGATTGCCCCTTTTCTCCCTTCCCAGTCTTCCATCTACAGCACATGAGCCAAATCTGGAAGAGGGAGTAGGAATTTCAGCTAAAGGCTGCTTAATGTCTTTCTGGGGAACGGTGTTTCAGGAAGACAGACACAGAAAAGAAACAGGTCAACCTCAAAGCTGGGCTACCCATCCTCCTAGATGAGATCTGGACCCCCGGAACAGAGCCAAGAGAGGCTCTACAGAGAACAGTCTTCCACACCAAAGTAATAACCTGCCCATGTTTTATCAGCAGCTTTCAAAGCAATGTTTTCCGGGGTTGGAAAAGTGCCATACCCTCCTCTTCCCAAAGCAACTGCTGCTGCAGTTCGTTATCCTTGTAAGTTACTGGCTCTTCTAAGAGAAGTTGAAACTCTGAGATTTCAAACATTTCTCTTTCCAACCCCAAGAGGTTACCCAACTTGGCATAGGGAAAGCAAAACCATGCAAAGACGCTCAACCGAGGCAGTCTCACTAGCCTCCTCTCCTTGGCACCTGATCTCTGAAGCACTTCTGATCTCATCCCAAGGTCCAAAAGGCACTAGGGCAATTAAAACTGAATCAAAACTTCAATCATGTAGCACCAGGGCTCCCTCAAAGTATAACAGAGGCCTGGTTAGGACCCCCAAAAGAAATCCTCAAAAAGTATCCAAATTTATTGCGGCCTAACAAAGATCTGCAGCTTCCAGTATTCACATACTGTGAAGTATTAACAATACAAAATATATCCTGAAAGTCAGACACCTGCAGTTCATAGTGCTTTCTCAGATTTGTTAAAAAAATACAATGCTTAGTTTTCTATATAGGATATACAAAAGCAAAAAATATATATGTATATAGTAGAAATAAAAATCAGCCATAGTAATTTACAGCTTTAGTCTCCAACCCTCCCCAAATTATAACACCTTCACCCCATACTTCAGTCTATACTTTCTGAGATCAAAGGTTCTATATTTATTCTGAAACCAAACTGAGAAATAGTCATTATATTGCATTTTGAATAGCACCCCAAAAAGAGTGCCTGTTGGGAGGTCCCCAAAGGAAGAGGGCGGGTTGGTCCTTTCTAGGAAAAAGGCGGCACAGTCAAATAGTATGTAGATGATATGAATGGGCAACCCAGGACAAGGGGATGAATGCATTAAGATTACTGTTTCAGCTGAGCATGGTGGCATATATCATCTGGAACCCCAGCACTTGAAAGGCAGAGGTGGTGGGTTTCATAGTTAAAGGTCAGCCTGGACTAATCATGAATTCAGACCAGTCAAGGTTATACAGACAGACCTAACAAGATTACTAAATTTGTGGTCACCCACCACCAGCAAAGCAGAGTCATTAAAAAAAAATAAGTAAAAGATCATGAAGGTTGGACATGGTGACATATACCTGTAATCATAGCACTTAGGAGCAGAAAAACTATCCAAAGTTCAAGGCCAGTCTGAGTTACATAGCAAGTTCCAGGGTAGCCAGGGCTACAGAATAAAACCCTGTCTTAAAAACAAAAAACAAACAAACAAACAAACAAAAAACAACAGCAACAACAGACAAACAAAAAAAAATCCCAAACAATAAATTTCAGAATCAATATGCAGGTTAATTATGTTAAATTCCAATGGCCAAAAATTTAGGGAAAGGTTATTTTTCAGTAATGAGACCTGGACTGGAGGAATGTAGTCTCTACCTATGAAAAAGGCCAAGTGGATCATAGATAGGAAAACAGAAGCAGAAACTGTTTCCATTTAAAAGTCAAATAAGACACTGGAGAACGAAATAGGAAAAGCAGAAAAAAATATGATGTAAATTAATTCATGGTAATGTTAATAAAGCAGATGTTGAGGATAAACCATCCAAAAGAGAAAACACCGTCAAACAACTTATTTAAAGGCTTACAGTCCTTGGCATCATTAAGTCAGCTTATCATCATCACTTCATACTGAAGAAGATTCTATTCCTTGAAAAGATCTAGCAAAATACTGCACACTCCAGTGAGTTATGCTGCCCCTTCCTCCAGAGATGCCATAGTACATGATTATTAGACATAAAACAACAAGGTTTGAGGTCTGCTTTTCTGTGGGAATAAAAAGGTGTCATGGTGACTGAGGACGGATACCTTTTGAATCACCATGTGATCTGTGATCTGGGAAAAGTCCTTGAAATATTTCCTGAGTCTTGATAAGAGTCTTAGTTTGCACAGGAAGGACCAAATAGAATAGACTGATGTTAGAGGATCAACGGCTCTTGTAATTCAGACTATCACCACCACAAACTTAGCAAGAATCTACTTTCGATGGAATTCACATAAAATGTATAATAGTATAATCTATTTGTAGCCAAGATAGAGAGTTTAGAACAAAGAGTCCACTATAGATTTGGATGTTGATTTCATTTTCAAACACAAAAATAATTTCTTCTTTAGAAAGTGCACTAGGATATCCCCCCACCCCGTTCATAATTGTAACTGATTTAGCATAAGCAGAGAACTGACCTCAGGAACATACCCAAGTTTTTTAACCAACTTCTTGGTAACGGGCCTGAAAAGCATTGTAATCTGAATTTATTTTCCAACAATTTCAAATATAAGTTCTCATCTGCACGTAGATATATACAGGCACAAACACCCACTCTCACACAGTCATACACAAAGTTTACTTTCTCTATCAGATCAGGGTAATTTTTTTATTGCAGATCTCTTTAAATATTGGCTAATAGAAAATCTATCCCCAACCTAATAGATTACACACATACACACACCACTTCCATACTACCTCACAGTGAAAGGCTCTCTGACAAGATACCAGAAGGTCAAGAGAGACAATGCTTTCTTTAATGGCTGGGCCTTGAGGACAATTCTGGTTGCATTTAAGCCTCAGTGTCAAATGCACTGAGTTTCCCTGCCGTTATAATTTTTGGATCAGTCTCTTCTGGAATCAGGCCATGGATAAAGCAGGATAATTTCTCCCAATCTCTCCTATAATCCCCAGTGGTAAGACAAGATTTCCCTTTGTTCTGGGCTTATCGTTCCCATGATTGTGTGTTTCCTTTACCCTTAGGAACCACCCAACTACATACAGAATTAAGGGGGAGATTATTTTAAAGAATTACTCTTGCCACTGGCACAAGCTTTGCATTCTACAGAATTAAAAGTTAGAACAGATTCACTGGCTGATGCTTCTTAACATGAAAACACTAACAGGAAGGAACTACAGAAATATTTAAAAGAGGAAGTATACTTCCTTTCAGTGTGGGAACTCAGAAGCCCAATACATTAAGGCTTAGAGCTATTTGGAAGACAATGATACTGAAATCCAAATAATTCCATGAATCGAGACTACGAGAACATCTTTTTCCTACTGAAAGCTGCTGCCTACTATTTGACCATTTTTTGACCGTTTATGCACATCAATCCAAGATTCTCTCCCTCAAAGGGCCTCTTAGACAATTTCACAGACTTCTGACTCCTGATGTTTACAGTAGCTAACAAAGGGAGATGGTTTTGACTCTCCAGCACTAAGAAGGTGCCTGCGTCAGTAGTAATTTGAACACTCCCCCCATAGCTACTTCAACCATCAGCCTGCACTTCAAGGTTTTCCATTCTGCTGCTCGAACTAAGCTCTTTAAAATATTGACCGAAGTGACTAATCCAGAAATCACTGTCATAAACAACACAGGAAGTGATCATGTGAGAGAAGGGGAGAAAAAAGACTGAGTCAGGAAAGGAGCGCAAGGAGCTGATCCCATATAAAATGACAAAATTAAGACACATATGTATATACGAACTAAAAGCAGAGCACATGAATGCTTACTCTGGTTGGATGCCAGGACATTTATAGAAAAGCTTGATGTGTCATGATAAGGCTCAGCCATTGAGAAATAAGGCAATATTAAAAAAAAAAAATGACCAAGGTATTTTTGGTCAGAAAATGGTCGTTTTCCTCCTCCCAGCCACCCCTATGAAAGCATCTCTATATATTTATTTATATATATATATATGTAATATAGAATCTGTTTTTGTTAAAAAGTATTTCAATGATCATACATATTTATCAAGGCATGATGGCTTTGGGGGTGGGATCCATCATGGGAAAGCTTAGAGGTTCAGAAATGCAGGAAGAGGAGGCTGGGGTAAGAAGTGTAAGAAGAACCTGGGATGAAATAAATGCTTATCAAAAGGGTGGCACCAACACAACTTTCACTAATATTTTCCATTTTCAAGGAGTCACCAGTAACAGATGGGTGCCACAATCCCATCTCTTCTCCTGTACCCTCCCTCAATTCTTCCCTCCACCAAGAACATTAATGCTTCATGGCTCGCTCTTCCACAAGTCTCTTGGACCCATGCTATCTTGCATCCCAGGCTTGGTGGGTAATGGCCCATGTCTCTGGCCCTAGGTGTCTAATCTCAGAAACCATTGCCACTGATATTAATGGACTGTAGCTCTGTCACCTGCATGACGTTGATGCCACTGTTGGCAAGACGGGCAATACCCTCGGGACAGATGGCCTCCATGGCTACCATATTGGTGGTAATAAGGGCTGAAGGAGTGGCAGTGCCACTGCCTTCTGAACCTGCCCCACTGTCCAGGGGCAAAGTGCCCACACTCAGGGCGACCCCTGGGCCTCCCTTTTTGTTCTGGTGGGTCTTGATATGCTTTGACAGGTGATCACTCCTCATGAAACGCTTAGGGCACTCAGGACAGGCAAATTTCTTCTCACCTAGATAAAAAAGCAAAAGATAACTTAATCCAAAAACAGTCAGAACAAAGATGGGGTTGATGTGTGTTCTTCAAAATCCAAATTCAGGAGTCTCTTCCAGAGGTCCTGAGTTCAATTCCTAGCAACCACATGGTAGCTCACAACCATCTGTAATGACATCTGGTGCCCTCTTCTTTCAGCAGGCATACATGGAAGCAGAACACTGTATACATAATAAACAGACAAATAAATCTTAATGGAGCTCCTTAAAATCTTCCAGAGTAATCCAAGTGCTCTTTGAGACACACTCAATTTCACACATAAGTTGTTCAGGATGTTCAGTTACTTCAAAGGCAAATCATGTCTTCTCGTTTTGTCTATTACTCATTTTCTCTTCCCCTGGGTCTCACTCACCTGTATGTGTGCGTTTATGTCTCTGAAGCTCATCTGAACGTGTGAAGCGTTTCCCACAGTATGACCAGTTACACATGAATGGTCTCTCTCCTGTATGCCAGCGCAAGTGTGCCCGGAGATGTGAGGTCTTGCCATATACTTTGCCACATCCTTGGATATGACAAATGTGCTGTTTCTTTTTACCAGGATCTCCAGAGCCTCTATGAATGAGAACATAATGATTTATCATTCTGGAGACAAAAATTAAAGAACCAAGAAGTGTTAGTAATTACCTAACCCATTCTTTTGTTTGTTTTGGATACAAGTATCTCTGGCTATCTTGGAACTCCATAAATTGACCAGGCAGGACTTGAACTCAGAAACCTACCTGCCTCTGCTTGCTTAATGCTAGGATTAGAAGTTTGTGCCACCATACCTATCACTGAAATTGACTTTAAAAAAAAATTTAATATTTACTTATGAGTAGTTTGTCTGCACATATGTACGCCTCAGCATGTCTGGTACCCAAGGTCAGAAAAGGATGTGAAATCTCCTGGAACTGGAGTTACAGATGGTTATGAGCTACCATGTGGTTGCTGGGAATTGAAACAAATCCTTTGGAAAGGCAGTCAGTGCTTAGCTGATGAGCCATTGCTTCCCCTCCAGTTTTTCTTTGTTTGGTCTTTTTGAGACAGGATTTCCTTGTGGAGCCCTGGCTGTCCTAGAACTCAGAGATCTCTCTGCCTCAAATGCTGAGATTAAAGGTGTGCACTATAGCACCCAACTTGTGGGGTTCTTTTGTTTTGTTTTGTTTTTTTGAGACAGGGTTTCTCTGTGTAGCTTTGTCTGTCCTGGAACTTACTCTGTAGACCTGGATGACCTTGAACTCACAGAGATCCGCCTGCAGCCTCTGCCTCAGTAGTTAAGAGCACTGGTTGCTCTTAACTCTTGAGTTCAATTTCCAGGACCACATGGTGACCCACAACCATCCTTAATGAGATCTGGTGCCCTCTTCTGGCTTGCAGGCAGAACACTGTATACATAAGAAATATAAATCTTTAAAAAAAAATAAAAAAATATTTGTGTGAGTTTGTGCATATGAGTACATGTGTCTGAGGCATGAGACCCCTGTAGCTGAAGTCACAGGCAGTTAAGAGCTACCTGATATGGGTGTTAGAAACTAAACTCAGGTACTTCAGAGAGTAACAAGAGCTTAACTGTTTAGCCATCTCTGCAGTCCCCCATTTCTTAAGGCTTTGTCTTGTTTTGTTTATTTTTGTTTTTGAAAATGTCTTATGTAACATAACAGGCTGCCTTTGAGATCCGGATCAAACAGACTAGGCAAGCTCTCTTTATCATTACTATTATTTTTATGTGCATTGGTGTTTTGCCATGAATTTTGGGTTCCCTGAAACTGAAGTTACAAACAGTTGTGAGCTGCCATGTAAGTACTGGGAATTGAACCCAGGTCCTCTGGAAGAACAGTCAGTGCTCTTAACCACTGGACCATCTTTCCAGCCCCAAGCTCTCTTCTATTAAAAGTTATAATTTCTGTCTCGAAAAACCAAAAAAAAAAAAAAAAAAAAGTTTTAATTTGTATCCCCTCCAACCCTGTGCACATTTTGGGGGGGAGGAGAAAGAGCTTTGAGACTGGGTCTCATATAAGCTCAGGCTGGCCTCAAACTTACTAAAGAGTTAGCCAAGACTAATTTTGATCTCCTGATCTCCTCTACCTTCTAAGTACTGAAATCATATAGGTAGGAGCAACTATCACACTTGACATCAAAGATAAATCTTCAGCTGATTTTAGTTAATTAGCTTCCAAAATCCAAGTTATAGATTACCTTCCTCAGAGATGTGGAGGCGCATGTCATTAATCCCAGCACTTGGGAAGCAAAGGCAGGTGGATCTCTGTGAGTTTAAGGCCAGCCTGGTCTACAGAGCTAGGACTGGTTCCATAGTTACTGAGAAACCCTGTCTCAAAAAACCAAAGATAGAGAGATAGAGATAGAGATAGAGATAGAGATAGAGATAGAGAGAGAGATAATAAAAAAGGGGCTAGCCAGGTATGGTGGTGCAATTCAAGGCAAGCCCTCTCCTGGGTTCCATAGGTAGTACCTGCATGCACAAGGCATACATAAACACATGGAAGAAACACTCAGAAACAAAAAACAAAGATGAGTAAATCTTTAAGGAAAAAATTTAAAGCCGGGCTGTGGTGGCGCACGAATTTAATCCCAGCATTCACTCGGGAGGCAGAGGCATGTGGATCTTTGTGAGTTCGAGGCCAGCCTGGTCTACAAGAGCTAGTTCCAGGACAGGCTCCAAAGCTACAGAGAAACCCTGTCTTAAAAAACAAAACAGCCGGGCGATGGAGGCACACGCCTTTAATCCCAGCACTCGGGAGGCAGAGGCAGGCGGATCTCTGTGAGTTCGAGACCAGCCTGGTCTACAGAGCTAGTTCCAGGACAGGCTACAAAGCCACAGCGAAACCCTGTCTCAAAAAACCAAAAAAAAAAAAAAAAAAAAAAAATTAAATGAAAGAAAAATCCTGGTGGAAAAATATTACATCTTTAGTAAGAGATGGACGATAGTGGTATACACCTTTAATCCCAGCACTTGGAAGGCAGAAGCAGAGGCAGGCAGTACTCTGAGTTCAAGCAAGACCAGCCTGGTCTACAGAGTGAGTTCCAAAACAGTAAGGGCTACACAGAGAAACACTGACTTGAGAGAAAGTGAACAAAAATAAAAACAAAAAGCACCTGGAAAAAGTATTGTCTTTTTGAGTGATAACATAACTGTGAAAACTAGTGTAATTTTCCTAAAGTTACTGTAAAAAAAAAAATCATTGGGGGCTGGTGAGATGGCTCAGTGGTTAAGAGCATTGCCTGCTCTTCCAAAGGTCCTGAGTTCAATTCCCGGCAACCACATGGTGGCTCACAACCATCTGTAAAGAGGTCTGGTGCCCTCTTCTGGCCTGCAGACATACACACAGACAGAATATTGTATACTAAATAAATAAATAAATAAATATTAAAAAAATCATTATAAGAAGTAGGTTTAGCGCTAGGGAGATGGCTCAGTGGTTAAGAGCGCTGACTGATCTTCCAAAGGACCTGGGTTCAATTCCCAGCACCCACATGGCAGTTCACAACTGTCTGTAACCCCAAGATCTGACACTCCTCACACAGACATTTATGCAAGCAGAGCACCAATGCACATAAAATAATAAATAAATTATTTTTTAAAAAAAGAAGTAGGTTTAGCCGGGTGGTGGCACATACCTTTAATCCCAGCACTCAGGAGGCAGAGGCAGGTGGATATATATGAATTCAAGGCCAGCCTGGTCTACAGAGAGCTAGTTCCAGGACAGCCAGAGCTAAACAGTGAAGCCCTGTCCATAAAACCAAAAAAAAATTCTATATTCAAGAAAATGACCTCACCTTCCTTCACTGTCTTTACAGTAGGGGCATGTACATGCTTCCCTCCGAGTCCTCCGACCAGCTTGGGGCTGGGGATCAGTACTGTTCTCTCCTTCTCCACCTGCTGTCTCATCATGCATCCCATCACCACCAGATCCATGGAGGCCAAGCTGAGTGCCATGATCACCTGAAATAAAGAGAGAGGTTCAAGATGCAGTGGGTAGGACAGAGAGCTACAGAACCTCACAGACATCACACTCATAGCACCAACTTTTCATTACAGTTCCTTCTTCAGTGTGATTGTCCAAGCCAGAGGACAACTTGTAAAAATCGGTTCTCTTCCACCATATCAGTTTCAAGGGAAAAGTTTCTGCGCCCCAAAAAGCCTCTCCACTGATGCAACAATCCAAATCAGACAAAATCAAATCAAATTAGAAAAAGCCAGGTTTAATGGATACAACGCTCCCAGATGATTTTCCAGCCCTCCAGAGAGGAGATGGGAAAGGAAGATCAGAAAACTGGGGAGCAGTTTAAGTACCCTGTGGGAGTGGTCTTGAGCATCTCTCGAGGAGGGGAAATAGTTTGGTGGGCTTTCTGAGATGCAGCAGGGTTTGGGGAGAGGGCTTGGAGTAGAACTTTTATCAGAACATTCCAGACTCTGAGTATGCCAGGGACTGAGGGTGAAGATTCCAGCAGAACATCAAAAACCAATCTCAGACTCTCAGCCTTGGCAGCAGTGCCTTTACCTGCTGAGCATCTCACTGGCCCATATGGCAACATTTCTTCAAGATCTTATTTTATTTTATTTAAAGATTTATTTATTTATTATGTCTACAACATTCTGCCTGCACACCAGAGGAGGGCGCCAGATCTCAGTACAGATGGTTGTGAGCCACCATGTGGTTGCTGGGAATTGAACTCAGGACCTCTGGAAGAGCAGTCAGTGCTCCCAATCTCTGAGCCATCTCTCCAGCCCCAAGATCTTTTTTTAAAATATGACATAAGGTCTCGCTATATTTGCCCGGGTTGGCCTTAAACTCCTAGGCTCAAGCAATCTTCTGACTCAAGCTCCCAAATTGTTAAATTAAAAATAAAATTAATTTAGCCGGGCGATGGTGGCGCACGCCTTTAATCCCAGCACTCGGGAGGCAGAGGCAGGCGGATCTCTGTGAGTTCAAGACCAGCCTGGTCTACAAGAGCTAGTTCCAGGACAGGCTCCAAAGCCACAGAGAAACCCTGTCTCGAAAAACCAAAATAAATAAATAAATAAATAAAATTAATTTAAAAAAATAAAATTTAAACTTCCTAAGGGACTACCAAAGGACTACAGATTTAAGTTTATATAATAGTTACAGGCTAACCTTGGCTAAAGATTAAGACCCATGTAAAATACAAAGGCTTACATGACATCAACATCATATTGGAATTTGTTCCCCACCCCCTTAATAATAGTTTTAGAAAGGAACAGTTCAATCTTAAAACATGGTGCTAGTTAAGCAATGAGATAAATTAAAGATTGGTCTTCCTGTGATGAAAATAACTAGGAAACCAGAAGCAGTTTAATGACAGTTTTGGGCAAACCCAGTTGCTGTCTCTAGCATCAATTTCTGAAACAACTACAAATGTCAGACCTTTTCAGTTTCTTCAGAGTAAAGAAGTGTGGCTAAACCCATGATCTTCCAAGAAATCACTAAGAGTCAAAACTTTAGGAATTACTAAAGCATGATGAAATTAAAATGTCAGTAACTATAAAACAAAACAAATCACCATTCTAGGAACTGAGCCAAGGGCCTCCACACAATACTCAAGTATTCTACCATCCAAAGGCTAATTTCCATATATTTCCAAAAACTGTGCTTAGGCTTCCAGGTTCCTGTCTGTCACCTCACTGTGATAAGTACCATGTCCAAAATAATAACAACAATAAAACAAACAAACAAAAAAAAAAGACAAAACAAACCAACAAGGGAAACAAAGGGTTTATCTCTTCTTACAACTCTTATGTCATCACAAGGGAAACCAGAGCAGGAAATTGTGGCAAGAACCAAGAGGCAGGACTGGCTTAATCTCCACGACTTGCTTATTCTGGTTTCTTACACCATCTAGGACTACCTACCCAAGAGAGACCCAGTTCCCAGTATGCTGGGTTCTCGTAACAAGCATTAATCAAGAAAATGACCTACAGACTTGTCTACAAGCACTTTGATAAAGGTATTTTATTTTAGATTCATTTATATCTATAAGTGTATTGCATACATTTGGGATGCCTGAGAGATCAGAATATAACATGGGCAACTTAATGAGAACCTCCCCCATCCCCAAATGTGAAAAGGGTTAAGGATATATGGCAGACCAAACAGAGCTCTGGGGAAAGCAAGAAGAAAACACTGGGCATCCTAGGGAGAAAGAAGCTAGACATGTGAGTTGGAAAAATGGGCCAACAGAAAAGTGTAGTAACTGCTTACAATTGTCTGTAACACCAGTTAGGCGGTTGTGGCACAAGCCTTTAATCACAGCTCTTGAGATGCAGAGGCAGGTGGATCTCTGCTGAGTTTGAGGCCAGCCTGGTCTACAAGAGCAAATTCCAGGAATTCCAGGACAGGCTCCAAAGCTTCAGAGAAACCCCTTCTCAAAAAACAAAACAAATCAAACAAACAAAAAAACTGCCCCTGAAAATGGGTAGAGCTAAGCGATCAGTAAAACAGTATTAATGGCTTTCACCACTAGATGTCACTGTGACTAAGTAATATACCACCCTCTTCCATAGGTTTAAGACGAAAAGGAAAAAAGAGAAATCTGCACAAAATTTAGGAACATAGAAGATATTTTGGAAGTCTCTCCATCAAATCTAAATATCAATTTCAGTTTTGATAATGTTCCCTATCAGCGTTGGTAATGTTCCCTGTTAAGGCTTGAGTTTTGCCATTCATTATGAATCAAAAGGTACAGATTAGAAAGGTCATGATGCTAAATGCCTAATTTCAGCAGTCAGAAAGTGCAGTGGCAGGAATATGGTCAGTCTGAGGTCTCTGCCACATAACGAATTCAATGACAGCCTGAGCTACACTGATAGTATCAAAAGCAAAACAAAATAAAATAAGCAAAGACCTGCCTCAACTTCCCAACTGCTAGGATTTTAAGTTTGAGCCACATTCCTAGCTATTGTGTACTTTCAGCATCAATTCATTCTCTATCACAACAGCAGAGCAATTAAATAGAAGTAGAAATAGTACTCAAAGCTGGGTGTGGTGACAAATGCATTTACTCCCAGGACTCAAGAGGCAAAGGGCAGGTAGGATCTCAGTGAGTTCAACACCAGCCTTGTCTACATAGCAAGTTCCAGGACAGCAGTGCTACAGAGAAACCCTTCCACAAAACAAACAAATGAACAAATAAATGATAAAACAAACTATTTCTATCACTCAAGAGACAGAGCAAGGGCTGGAGAGATGGCTCAGAGGTTAAGAGCACTGACTGCTCTTCCAGTGAGTTCAATTCCCAGCAACCACATGGTGGCTCACAGCCATCTGTAATGAGGTTTGGTGCCCTCTTCTGGCATGCAGACACACACACAGACAGAATATTGTATACATAACAAATAAATAAACATAAAAATAAATAAATAAATACACGCAACTGGGCGGTAGTAGTGGTGCACACCTTTAATTCCAGCACTTGGATGAGAGAGACTGGCAGGTCTCTGTGAGTTCAAGGCCAGCCTAGAGTTCCAGGACAGCCTCCAAAGCTATAGAGATATAGAGAAACAGCGCCAAAAAAAAAAAAAAAAAAGGTGTGTGTTATTTTATGTACACATTCACACACACACACGGGGCAAGAGAGATAGCTCAACAATTAAAAACACCAATGTGATACAGGTAAAGAACCTGCTTTGGCCTATGGCAGACAGTTGCTCTGTGAATCTATCTGGCTTCTGGGAACTTGCATGCACACCCACATAGGCATGTCTGCCTGCCTGCCTGCCCGCCTGCCTCCCACCTACACACACACACACACACACACACACACAAATAAACATTAGAAAAGAAAAAGAGGCCAGGTGGTGGTGGCGCACACCTTTAATGCCAGCATTTGGGAGGCGGAGGCAGGCGGATCTCCTGGAGTTCAAGGCCAGCCTGGTGAAAAACAAAAGAAGGAAGGAAGGAAGGAAGGGAGGGAGGGAGGGAGGGAGGGAGGGAGGGAGGAAAAGGGGCCAAGCGCATTGGTTCACACCTTTAATCTCAGCACTCCTGAGGCAGAGGCAGCTGGATGTCTAAGGTTGGGGTCAGTCCACTCTAGAGAGTGACTTCCAGGACAGTCAGGTATACACAGAGAAACCCTATCTCAAAAGAAGTAAATGAATAAAAATAAAATAAAAATAAAAGCTGGGCAGTGGTGGATCATGCCTCTAATCCCAGCACTTGGGGGAGGCAGAGTCTGGTGAATCTCTGATGAATTCAAGGCCAGCCTGGTCTACTGAGAGAATTCCAAGAAAGACTTCAAAACTATACAGAGAAATCCTGTCTTCAGCCCCACCAAAATTATAATTATATAATATATATTTATATATTTTATTATCTATTATATAAATCAGGCCTGATGGAGCACGCCTTTAATCTCAAGCAGAGGCAGGCAGATCTCCATGGGTTTCAGACCAGTCTGGTTTACACAGTGCATTCCAGACTAGAAACCACCACATAGTAAAATTCTGTCTCAAAAAAAAAAAAAAAATTTTTTTTTTTTCCGAGACAGGGTTTCTCTGTGGTTTTGGAGCCTGTCCTGGAACTAGCTCTTGTAGACCAGGCTGGTCTTGAATTCACAGAGATCCACCTGCCTCTGTCTCCCTAGTGCTGGGATTAAAGGCGTGCGCCACCATCGCCTGGCCTGTCGCAAAATTAAAAAAGAATGTGAAAAGCACGCTGCTTCATGTGGGCTCATGATTCTGATTCTAGCATTCAGGAAGGTGAAATAGAATATAGAGGCCAGCCTGGGCTATAGCGTGAAATACAGTCTCAAAAACAAGGATAAACACTTCAGGCAGGGTGGTGGTGGGCACACCTTTATTCCCAGCACTTGGGAGGCAGAGGCAGCAGGTGGATCTCCATGAGTTCGAGGTCAGCATGGTCTAAGGAGTAAGCTCCTGGACACTGTCTGGAAACAACAACAACAACAAAACAAACAAACAAACAA